GGCATGTCCATGCCCAAAATAGCATCAAAGTCCACCATGTTGAGTAGTAGAAGGTCTACCCTAGTCTTATAACCTCCAATAGAGACCACACACAAACGATAGACACGGTCTACCACAAGTGTAGACACATAGAGAGTAGCACTTAAAGAATCATGAGACACATCCAGATATGAAACAAAATAGGATGTCACACACGAATAAATGGAACTCGGATCAAATAAAATTGATGCATCTCTATGGAAATCCAGAATAATACTTGTGATGACCAAATCAGACGACTCTGCCTTAGGTCTAGTTGGAAATGCATAGAAATTGGGTTGAGCCCCACCAGTCTGACCTCCACCTCTCGGACGGCCTCTCCTTGCCTAGCCTCTAACTCAAATGACCTAACCACCACCCGAGGGTACCTGACCCCCGTATCTATCTGGCTGAGCAGGTGGTCGAGCAACCGGTACCGGAATCATAGCACGAGAACCCTGCTATGGCACAATGCTCTGAAGTCTAGACAATACCTCCTAATATTGCATGTACCCTCCACACTCAAAAAACTCTTTCAGCTGGTATAAATGTTGAATTTGGGACTGACCCCGACAGTTCGGATAACCACTTCAATAACTCTAAATTGGCGGTGCACTAATGGGAACTGAAGGTGCATTGTTGGCTAGCTACTTAGGACGAGACCCATAAGAACCATGACTGCCCGAAGCACTGTATGATGCTGGAAATATTGACTGGACCGGCTTGATAGGATGGTCTCTACCAAATAAACCCCGGCCTCTAGATGAGGCACCACAGAACCACCAAAATGGCGAGGCCTCTTCTCTAATGCCACCTATTTACCCAAACCACGAACCCTCTCGATCTGTCTAGCAATCTCTACAACCCGATTGAAAAAAGTATCATCCTGAGTCTCATTGGCCATCTATAGCTTGATACCATAAGTAAGGCCATATATAAATCTCTGCACCCTCTCCCTCTTAGTAGGAATCTGCATGGCAAGATAAATCCATAAATCTTGTCTCATACCGGGTAACAGTCATGCTACCCTACCGGAGGCACTTAAACTGATTGCGGTAGTGCTCTCTCAGGGTAAAAGGAATGAACTTCTCCAAGAATAGATGTGAGAATGGATCCTAAGTGAGCAGAGGTAAACCTGCTAGCCTGCCTCGAACATACTCCTACCATCACCTCTTGGCGGAGCCATGCATTTGAAACACTGCAAAATCAACTCCATTGGACTCCACTATACCATGTTGTGCAGTACCACATAAAAATTGTCTATGAAATCCTGTGGGTCCTCAGAAGGTGTACCACCAAAGTGAATAGGAAATATGTAGATGAACTTACCCAATCTCTCTAGTCCTATTGATGATATAGTGAGCCACATGTTCTGAAGTGTGAGTAGCGGGAGATTGGGCTCCTCCCCCAGCCTGAAAGATGGCTGATGCTACATGAAATACTTCGGCCTGGGCCACACTCTCCATAAGGCCGACCAAGCGGACTAATGCGTCCTAAAGTACGGGAGTGGCAATAAACCCCTCTAGGACCTGAGCTTGTCCAACTGGCACAGTCTGAACAAGGAACTCTTCCTCCTGCTGGATCTGAGGCTCTGCAAAGGGTGTTGCTGCACGTGCTCTAGGCTAAGCTCTACCTCAGCCCCTGGCCCTACCTCGGCCTCAGCCCCTACCCATGGTAGTGGCTTCAACCCGGGGCTCCGGCTCCTAGTCTGTTGGGGATGTTGTGCATGTCCTCACCATCTGTGAGAGAACAAGAATAGAATGATTCAAACTCAATGATAGAATAAAATCGCACGATAGAGAAAGAAAGAAGTGAAATTTTCCTAAAGCCCTACCTGGAAGATAAGTACAGACATCTCCGTACCGATCCTCTAGACTCTACTAAGTTTGCTCATGACTCGTGAGACCTAGGCAAAGTACTGCTCTGATACCAACTGTCACGACCCAAAATTCCAATTGTGGGGCCGTGATGGCACCTAGCTTTCACTTACTAGGAAAGCTAACATTAGCTACAGATTATTCATTTTAACAATTTTAATAGCAGTTAAATAAGAAATAAAAACTGTGGAACTTCAAAATCGATAAAATAAATCCCAAAATGAAGTCTAGCCAACTTCCGAAATCTGGTGTTACAAGTACATAAGCTACTAATATAAAATAATATAACCAAGGAAATAGAGTATAATTATTTGAATGAAATAACTGTGCAAGAATTAAGAAAAGGACTTCAGGGTCTGCAAACGCTGTGCAGTTCTACCTCAAGTCTCCGTGATAATAAAGTCTAGGCAAACTCTGCTAACCGTTGTTGCGACCAACACCAGAATTTGCACAAGAAATATAAACGTATAACATGAGTACAATCGATCCCATGTACTCCGTAAGTGCCGAGCCTAACCTCGATAAAGTAGTGACGAGGCAATAACAAGGCACTCACTATAAACTCTTACGAGTATAAATGAAATAACAACAAAATAGAGGAAACAAGTATAACATGATAACTGGGACAGGAAATACATAACAAACGGCCTACAAAAACATCAAAGCTCAACATTCTCAATATAACACGGATACGGAACCAACAATTAAGAACAGTCAATATGTCTTCTCTGTCGCGACGTGCAACCCGATCCACAAATATATGTAAATAACATGTCTTCTCCGTGGCGGGGCACGACCCCCCCCATATATATATATATATATATATATATATACACACGCGCGCACACGCACACATACACATACACACACAAAAAAATACTATTGTAGCATGCAATCTGATCTCAAATAGTAATATCAATATTTGATATGGTGTGCAATCTGATCCCACACAATAGTATAAATATCCGTTGCAATGAGCAACCCGATCCCACACAATATCAATTTAATGTATAATGTATAAACTACAACTAACTATGGTATATCTCAAAATAAAATGCAATAAGGGAATGACATAAGTAAAGACATAAAGCGGATAAAAGTAGCAAACTAACAACACAAAAAATCATAAAGCAAGTAAAGGCAAGAAATAAATAAAGATACGAGTATATGAAAAACAATTAACAAATTAAGGCATGTAAAGCATGAATTTAACAAGTAAGGGCAAGTAATAATAGAAGCATTTATAATAACATGAATTAAATGAAGGCATGAAATAATTGAAGAAATAAATAAATATCTCAACCTACATGCTTACCCATGACTACTCGTATACACTTATCGCCTTGCATATATGTCGTTCTCATACACAAATCAAGTAGCAAATAGATCAATCAAGTCCTAATTTCCTCAAGTTAAGGTTAACCACAATACTTACCTCTTCTCGCAGCCCAATCAATGATCAACCATGGCTTTTTCTTTAGAATTAGCCTCCAAACTAATCAAATATAGCCAAATATAGTTCAAACAATTAAAAATAAACTTTGGAAACTACCCACGAGTGAAAAAAATTCAATATTTCATGAAATTGAAAAAAGTCAACAAAAGTAAATCATGTGCCCGCTTGGTCAAAATCCGAGATTCGGACCAATACCCGATTATTCATTCACCCCCGAGCCCGATTATGTGATTTGTTTCAAAATTCGGCCTCAATTGGAGGTCTAAATCTCAATTTTACAAAATCCCTAAATTCTATCCAAAATGCCTAGTTTCTACCATGAAATTCATAGATTTAATGTTAAAATCAATGAGTGATTATGAAAATACATCAAAACTAGTTAAAAATCACTAACCAATGAAGTTGAGGTGAAAATCTCTTCAAAATCCTCTTTAGTCTGAGCTCTAGTTTTCAAAAATGGTGAAGAATGACCAATTCCCAACTTTCAGCTTTCATTTAATGGGGCGTCAGGTGTTCTTCGCCCTCTCGAAGCACCTGTTGCGTCCGTGAGGTCCCCATCTCGTCCGTGAAGGCATCCCCAGCCAAGTCTCCGCGTTCGGGATGAAGAACTCCACAGCCTCCCCCCCCCCC